CATTTTAAATTTAAACATAAATAGACTGATACAAATAGACTGCTCCTTAATAGGCTCTCCTTAATGGCAAGTCAAACATGCACAGGGTTATGATGCATAATGAGAGGCAGAGGTTACCTTAGATGGCAATTCTAGTCCCTCCATATCTGTTCTCGTGGTTTAGATCTAAAATGGTCCCAAAGCCTCATGTGTTTGGAAGGTGTTATGGCTTGTATGCAGTTGTCCTCCCCAAAGCCTCATGTGCTCATAGGTGGGATTTCTCAGAGATGGCTGTATCCAGGGTGTAAATATAGATTAAGGGTGTGTGACAATTAAATTAGTCCACTGATTGTTTTAGCATATTTCTGGGTGTAGATAATGGGAAGGCCCATCCTGGGTTTGGGTGGCACCAGGCAATAGGCTTGTAGCCTGAATTAAGTAAGAGTAAAAGGGAGGCTCACTATCTTGCTGCTGCCTGCCTTGCCATAGGCTGTTTCTGTTCTGCAATGCCCCTCAGTCATGCCACCCGGTCTTCGAACCAGCTAAGTATTGACTGAAACCTCTACTGAGTGTGAGCTAAAATAAACCTTTCCTCTTAACTTGTGGGTGTTGGATATTTTGATCCAGCAACAAGGAAGTAGCTAAGGAAGTAGTGATTGGATTATGGGGGCACTACAGTGTGGGAGACATCCCTGCCCAGTACTGGGGGGCTAAGAGTGGCACGTACTTCTTGCCTTCTCTAATTCAGCTATATTGTTTTATATCAGGAGTCAGACTGAAGCCCTGCGTGACTCAAACAGGCATGTCAGCTAGCAGAGTTGGGCTACTATTGCTCCTTTGCTAACGGCTGTCACCGAGGCCTAAGTCCTGGTCAGTGAAGTGACAGGGCCCTGCTAAATTATGTGCAGCAGAGGTCAGAGTGACCCCAATTAAAATCTTTTCCCCTGCATTATTGCTTCTCACTGACCTTGTGGGTTGGTTGCTAATTGTACCTGGTCCCAGTACCAGTTTCTTCTATCCTAGCAAGATGAGAAGTGCCTACTCCCTGACAGCCCTGCCTGGTGCCATTATGCCAGGAGTTTGGCAATAATTCACTAGACGACTTCAAAGCTCCCTGGCTCCCTATTCCTTCTCATGATTGTATTTAATAAATACTGGATATGCTTGGGGGCTTTTGTCTTTGTTGCCTAGAGGAGCGTTGATCAGGACCCAAGACTCAGATTCACTATAAGTTTTGTTTCTATTTAACCTTTTGCCCATGCTGTGGTGGCTCACAGAAGGCTGGGACCTACTGTTGGGGTTTCCAGTGACGTCCACTTCCCCTGACCCTTACACTATAGCTCAGTTGCTGTTAGGAGTGGGGCATAGTCAGAAGAGGTGGGTCACTGAGGGAGTGACTTGTAAGAGTGTATCTCCCTTTCTGGTTCCTCTTTTAACTCTCTCTGCTTTCTGAATGCTATGAGATAGGCAGTTTTTCCTCTGCCATAACCCTCTGCCATGCTGCCCTGCCTTGAAGCCAGACAACTATGGACTAAAACATGAACCAAAATAAACCTCTCCACCTTTAAGTTGTGGGTGTCAGATATTGTGTCTTAGTAACAGGAAAGTGACTCAGACAGGTTTTGGCCCCAGAGAAGTGGGGCTGTCACTGTGAATTTACTTGATCATGTGGTTTAGATACTTTTTTAACTGGTTTGTGGGAGGAGTTTGGAAATGTTTGGAGATGAAGTAGCCCTAGAATGCTGTCAGCCAAGTTTGGTGGGAGATTATGGTCAGATCTCAAAAGATCAGAATGTTGATTGAAATTCAGACTATAAAGACCAGGCTCAAGAAATTTCACTTGTAAACAAGGACTCTATTTGCAGCTGTGGCAGAAAATTTGTTTACATTTTGCTTATATCCTGAGACTTTGTGAGAGAATGAGATTAAGGGCAGTGGATTAATCCCATAGAAGAAATTATAAGGCAGCCCAATGTTGAGACTGTGGTATGAATACTGTTGGGGATTTTTAGCCAGGTTTAAACTGAAAATCAAGAGCAAAAAGTCCATTAAAAAAGTTTCCAGTTTAGTCAGAAAGGAAATACCTGTGAAGTAGAAGCTTAGTTGCTGAAAAAATTAGCATTAAAAGGAAGCCAAGTTAAAATAAATAAATAAATAAATAAATAAATAAAAGGAAGCCAAGTACTTTGGAATAGGACAATAAGAAAAATGGCTTGAGGGCATGACAGCAACAAGCAAGGCTCCACCTTTTGCAGGCTCAAAGTTGCAAAAGTCAGGCTTTCCTTTGAGAAGGCAGCCTCACGGTACTGTGCTTCAGAAAGGTTGCCTAAAGGAAATGTCTGAGGAAAACCTTAAGAAGTGAGCAAACCTGGCTCAATAGAAAAGTCATGTGGGCTACAACCACCAGCAATGACAAAGGAGCAGGGCTGTACAAGCCTTTGGGAGTTTACATCTCCTCACAGCTTGCTCTGGGTGCTGGGCATGGACCCCCAAGATTTAATGTTTGCCCTGTAGGATTTGGATCTTGCTTTGATCCCACTCCTTTCTAATCTGTATTTCCTTTTGGAATAGAAATATTTATACTGTGTCCTTGCACTTTGGAAATGTTTAAGTTTGTTTTTTTTTTCTTCACTTTTACAGGTCTCATAGCTAAGAGTTAGCTTTAAGTTGTCAGAGGAGATTTTGGACTTGAACTTTTCAGCAATGCTGGAATTGTTAAGACTTTGGAGACTCTTGGAAATGCTCATGAGTCTTTTGGTGATTTAGGGAGAAGGATGCTATGGTTTAGATCTAAAATGACCCCCAATGGTCATATATCAGAAGGTGATTGGATTATGGGGGTACTATGGCTGACATGCTGTTAGGAGGTGGGGTCTGGTCAGAAGAGTTAAGTCACTGAGGGAGTGACCTAAAAGGGTCCTTTCCTATCTCCTCCCTTGATTCTCTCTGGTTCCTGGCTGCCATGAGGTAAGCAGTTTTTCCTCCACCACACCTCTCTGCCATGCCATCCTGTCTTGAGCCAGCCGACTATGGGCTAAAACATGAGTCAAAATAAACCTCTCCTCCTTTAAATTGTGGGTATCAGGTATTACATTTTAGAGATGGGAAAGTGACTGAGACACCTGTGATTCCTAAAAGCTGTTAAAATCAGAGGGCCCACCGTATCTGCTCATTTTAATGAAACAAGGCACTGTTTATAAGTAAAAGACTTAGCTTAATGATTGGTGGGTGCTAAGTATTCAGCATATATCAGCAGTTGGTAGAAATCATCATAGTGTTATATCCAAAGCTAGGTCAGAGTGCTTCATGTCTTCATTTCTCTAGTCTGGGGGTGGTAGGGTTGGGTGGGAGATGAATAGTCACTAGGAAGTATTCTAGAGCCAAATGGTTTCATACAAGTCTATGCTTACCTATTGGCAGCTACACTATTCATTCATTCACTTACTCATCATCCAACATACACTTATTCAGCACCAGTGGCCCTGTGCTCAGCACGCAAACCTCTGATATCTGGAATTCATGCATGCTGTGTCCTGGGCTGGCATACAGAGCATTACATCAGGAAATCTGCTTCCCAATACACCTCTCCATCTGCCTGCTGGTGGAGTTGGTGAGTTAGAGGGAGCTTGGATGATGGCATCTTGCATGCCAGAGTGTGGAATTTGAAATCTAGTGTGTATTTTTTTCAGATAAGGAATCTGAAATCTGAGAGAGGAGTATTTACTCAAGTTTAGAAAGTAATTCAGTGACTGAGGCTACAACCTGGTTGATTAATTTGGGAAACAAAGGCTCTTTCCATTAGATCAATTCCTTCAGAGCAGAGTGAGTGTGTTTTCATCTACACATGGGTGTTGCTTTCCTTTATGAAGAGCTGCATTTCAAGGTTAAATGAAGTAGCACTTGAATAAGTGTAGGACAGTGGTTCTCAATTCTGGTTGTATTATTAGGTCATCTGGAGAGCATTTTAAAAATTCTGATGTGGGGGCCCCACCCCAGACCAATTAAGTCAGTATATATGAGGGTGGAACAGGAGCCTCCTACAGGTTTTTAAAGCTCCCCAGGTGTTTTTAATAGCCAGTCAGAGCTCTGCAGTCTCATATATAGTCCTCTAACCTACAGTTGGTGGGCTAGAGAGCAACACTTCCAAATGTAATGCGCATTTGAATCATCTAGGGATTTTGTTAGAATGCAAATTCTAAACCAGCAGGTCAAGGTGACCCTGAGCATCTCCATTTCTAATAAGTTGCCACATGCAGTTAATACCAACAGACCTGGACCACACTTTCAGCAGTAGCTCCAGGAGGTGCTCTGGGATTCTGGTCACCTACTTGGCCACTGGATGCTCCAGTCAGAGCTTGGGAGTTACCTCTCTTCTTCAACCTCTCTTCACCTCCATACTTTGCACACTAGGCCATCAGATCTTGTCTATTCCCTGCAGCTCCTATCCTTCCTTGATGCATTGGCACAGCATTCTCCTTCCTGTGCCCCACCAGCACTGGCCTGACTCTGTGCTTTGCTAGAGTGTCTCCTGACGGAGCTTTCTCTTTCCCTCTTGTCACTGCCAGGTCTGTCTTCACTCTGTAGAAGTAGAAAGCTCTTCCTTGACACAGGTCTTAAGAGAGCACGGCATTCCCGGGCCTCTTCTCTCCCTAATCACCTGTGAATGTCTAGGAACTGGATGTCCTTCTGCTCCCAGTATTTCCAGCACTCAGCTCAGCGCCCATCAGACTGTCAATAAATACTTATTGAATTTAACAAACAAAACCTGAAACTCCAGTAAGCAAGGCCAAACAAAAGCTTTGGCTGTTCTCTTTCCGATAAAAAATGAACATTCCTTTGAGATTATGCATCAGGCTTTAAACTCTCCACGGGGCAGGAGGGGGGCGCAAATTTAACAAAAGTAAGTGGTTATTTCCTGTCTGGGTTGTGTGTTTTAATACAGGCTCAAAGCAGGCGACGGGGCAGGAACTAGAGATGGATGCCGGCAGAGACTTGGAGGTCTGCTTTCAAATTTGGGCTCCTCGCTGCAAGGAGAAAGGCTGGAGGTTTGGGCCAGGGTGGAGCCAGAGAGTCCCCGCCGGCGCGGGGAGGCGGGCAGGAGTCTAAAGCGTGAATTAACTTGGCGCGGAGGAGGCGCCGCGAGCCGCAGCGTACGGGTTTCCCGTCTTGCCAGAGCCCACAGGGGCCGCTGGCCTGGGGAAGGGGGAGGGAGAGAGGGAGGGCAGGTCCCGAGCAGAAAGGGTGGAGGAGGGGGGAAAGTGAAGGAAATGAGACAACCTTTTCCTCCCACTTACTCGGGCTTCTCCAGCGTTTGCGGGGCTAGGCTCGGCAACTCGTGAGCGCGGAGGTCAGGACCCCGCGTCCCCAGCTCAGCCCAGACTCCGACGGGCAGCCAGATTTCTCTCCGAGGCGCGGGTGGCAGCCCAAGCCCGGAGCAGTACTTTGTCGCGTTCTCCCCTCACTGATCGGCTCTGGGTCTCACCGCTCTGCTCCGGAGCTCCCGGAGCGCAGTCCCCGGAAGTGCGCGCCGGCGGTCCCGGCGAAGGTAAGCGGCACCCCAGAGCGCTCCTAGGGTGCAGGGGCGCCGGGCATTCCCACGGGCCCTGGCTTCTCCCCAGAGGCCCCTCTTCGCCAACACCTCGAGCTCTTCTGACCTGAAGCCTTTGCTTTGTTCCCCAACCCCTGCCCAGGTGCTGCAGGCTGGGTGCCCCAGGGAACTCTTGCTTCCCGGCGCTTTCTTTTTTTTTGTCTCCTCTTCCTCCTATCTCCCTGTCGCTTTCCCCGCTCCATACTTTTCCTTTTCTGGATCTAACAACTCTCAGCTTTCCGTCTCTGCAGTCTGGCTTTGGAGAACAGGTCCTTTCCAAATCTGGGCGCCTCTCTCCTCCTCCGCCTCCGGGAGCTGGGCTGAGCGGGTTGACCCGCGGCGGTAACTGGGTGTGATCTAGGCCTGCCGGGGGCTGACCTGCTTGAGATTTTCGTGGCTTAGGCTGAACTATTTACCTGGCTCGTTTCGGAGACACTCAGTTCCCCGCGCGCTTTTAGCGACCCTCAGGATCCCGAAGTCAGAGTGGATGGCGTAACGAAAAGGCTGGGGGCGCCCCCTAAAACCTTAGTGGGACGTTCTGCTGGTCGAGAGAGGCTCAGTCTGCCCCAAGCCCTCACCTGAGGGGGTCCCTATGACTGGGTGGAGTGCACTCAATTGGAGCCCACGGGATTTCGAAGTAATGAGAAGTTTAGGCAGAAGAGGAGGACAGACCACATTGAGCACTAGGTTGCGGTTTCGCTCTTAGTAACTGCCTGAGCTCACGTGCGTATCAAGTCTGTGAGTAGTGACTCTTATCTCCATTTTACAGAGGAGCAAAATGAAATGCGGAGAGATTAAATAACAGCCTAGGGGGCCACACCAATTAGAAAGGGTCCAGCCAGGATTTGGATCTCGGATGTCTATACCACACATCCCAAGTCCAGCCCTACAATGTTCTCCTCCCTTCAGTCAAAGCAAAAACCTACCATCACCTCCTTGCTCATGCTACAGGGAACCAAGCTTTTTCCTTTCTGAGCAAATATATCTTGATTCTATTCAAACCCAAAGTATTTATTTAGTACTTAGTATCTTTGCATCTCAATGGCAAGTACGGAGCTGTCACTTTGTTTTTTGGTGGTTTTTTTTTTTTTCCGGAGACAAGGTCTTGCTAAGTCTCTGAGTTGCCCAGGTTAGGCTCGAACTTAAAATCCTCCTTCCTTAGCCTCCCAGAGGGATGGGATTCCAGGCTGTGCTACCACATTGCCCAAGTGTTTCACCTTTGAACCTCAGTCTTTCATCCCTACCTGTCATCCTGTCTGCCACCAAATACACAGTTCTGCCTCAGAAGGCTGGATTAATCTCTCCTCTTTGAAAGGCAGTTAAGTACAATGGCTAGGATTAGTCTCTCTTCCCTGAAAGGCAGTTAAGTACAATGGCTAGGAGGCCAAGCCCTACAGCCAGACCACCAAAGTTTGAGTCCTGGCTGAAGCCTTTCCGTACCCTTCTATGGCTGGATTTCCTCATCTGTAAAGTAGGGATGGTAGAATTTAAAGTGATGGTTCTCAACTGTGGTTTGACTTTGCCTCCAAGAGACATCTGGAGTTGTTTTTGGCTGTTCCCATGTGAGTGGGGGAGGATGCTATTCATCAGGTGGTGGAAGCTAGGGATGCTGCTAAATATCCAGTGTTGCACAGGACAGCCCTTCCTCCAATGCAGAATTAACTAGGCCAAAGTGTTAATAGTACTGAGGTTGAGAAACCCTGGCTTAGTGTATCTGTACATAAAAGTCACCATTATTTCTAACTCTCATCCTTATCTGCTGCTATTTGGCTGATTATACCAGCCTCTGTCCTCATGTCTTTATTCATTCCAATGCCAGTATTATGTTGCTAAATCCACAGTAGGACTTATTATGATACTGCATCATACCTTTGTTGGTCCTCCTTTGCTAACAGAAGGGACAGGGATCTGCAGATGTTTTACATCCATTAAAGGTAACTCTTCTATGTGTTTAAGTTTGAGAATCATTGGATATACGGAATAAAATCTAATCTTGCACACATAACAAGTGGCCCCAACTTACCTTCACAGACTCACCTTATGCCACCTTCTCTGTGCTCCTGCCATCCCTCTCAGCTCCCTCTTCTTTTGGTGTTCTGAGTCCTGACTTTTTGGAATGTCCTCCTCCTCCTTTGATTGGCAAGTTCCTCACCATCCTTTGAGACTCATCTCTAGTGCACTTCTGGATAAAGCATTCTTTACTTCCTGAGACCTGTTGCTTCCTGCTGCCCCAGTGCATTGCCCTTTTTGTTCTTTCAGTATCTCTCTTACAGTATGTACCTCACCATGTAGTGATCCCTGGGAATCTCTCCACTGTTCTTTGCCTACCCAGAACCTGACACAGTGTCATCGTGTTCACAGTGGTGGCTGAGCTTTTCCAGGCTTTGAGGTTCTGCTGCCTGTGTTCATATCCCAGCTCTGTCACCTGTTAATTCTATGACCTTTGACAAGGAGACTCAGTCTCTCAAAGCCTTATTGGTAAAAAAATGAAGAGTCTCCACCTTCCCTGCAAACTAGTGTGACTGAGTGCCTACTCTGTGCCAGGATATGGTTCAAATTTGGTGTTTTAAAGAGTTTTTACTCACTTAACCCTTGTAATGTCTCCTTAAAGTTAGTATTGGTGTTGTCCTATGTTCCTAACAAAGAAATGGAGGCACAAGGAGGCTAAGCACTTTGTCCGGCATTATACTCACTAGAGGTGGGGTTATGATTCACACAGACATCTGGATTACAGAGCATATACTCTTCATACTGTGTAAATTTAAGCTGAGTTTAGTTCAGTGCATGAATGAAATCCTGTGAGAGCCTCTGGGTTCTTCACCTGCACCATACTTGTGATCTAAAACTATGCCACAATTTTAAAATTCCTGTGCTTCCCTCCTTGCCTTGCTGCAGTCACAGAGGAGCAGGACTTTGGAGTAGTCTTCTGTTACAGCATCAGTCTGGTACCACTAGCTCAGATGCTGAATGGAGCCTATGTGTGCCCACTCAGGGATAGAGCTCTTTGGGGATGTGAGTGGAGTTCACACTCTTGCCTGGACAAGAGAGATACAGACGTAAGGTCAGGAGCTTCACGACTCCAGCTTTGTCTTTAGTAAGCATGTGCCCTTTTGCAGTGAGCATCTAAAAATAGTGTTGCAACCAATCAATGAATGGGTAGGGGTAAATGTCACCAACTGGTTCTCCTCCCTCTTTATACCCAGTCAAATGCAGAATATGCCTTCTCTCCAAGTATTATGAGGAATATCTACGTATTAAAGGTAAAACTTGTTAAGGGAAATTAATGACCCATATGGAGTATTGGATAACCAGATTTGGAAGCAGTTGATGTCCTCTGTGTGAGTCATGTATGATATAGGATACTAGGTTACAGCTGATCACTTTACCATCATGGAATCTTACTTCTTCAAAAGCAGCATTGGCTTTGAAGTTGAGCCCCCTCCTTGTTGGTCCTTAGGCCACTTGTTCTGTGGGCCAGACTGTCTCGCACAAATACCTGCCCATTTGTGGACTCTGGCTTCCTCCACAGCTGTCCTGCACAGCTGTAAGCCCCCTGCATTTGCCTGTTTTGGCAGATTATCCCCCAGAGTGTAGTAGGATGAGGCCACTTGGCCTGTGCAAGTGCTTGCCATTTGTTGAGGGGCTGCAGAAACACTCCAGTAAGGGCTGCTTTTGAGAGTAGAGCATCACAGAGGTCAACAGAATGTGGAGCAGGGCAAGAACATGCCTGTCCACGGACATATCTCAGACGCTGCAGATGCCCTGTAGCACTGCCTTTCCCTGTAGGCCCCAGACTTTAGCCATTTCTTGGCATTGTACCCTTTCTTGGGATACCAGGCGCTGATCTGAGAAACACTTTCCTCCAGGATGTCAGTGACTGGAGTAAAAGACCTAGAACCTTTGGGCATTATTTGTATTTACACTGAGGCTTTAATCGCCTGTCCTGGAAGAACAACTAGTCATGGTGGTGGGTAGAGTGGGGATGTCAGATTTGGTGCCCCATCTTCAGGTCTCTGATGTCACACTTTATTGGCCCCATCTTTGGGGAAGCTCCTTTTAACTGACAGGCAAGTACATTTCTAATGAAGCTGGCTCTTAGTTCTAGGGAGGCACACTTTGCCCCGTTGAGGTTTTGGGCTGTGAAATGTACTCTGCTGTTTGACTCTATGTGAAATCCTGTTTAAGAACCATTTGGGTCTGGAACTGGAGGAGCATCTTGAGATGTTATCATGGACTTGGAGTGCAGGTGTGATGAGTAGTTCAGTGCTGGCTGCCAGAGACAGGGAGGTGAACAAGACATGGGCCGTATCATCCAGGTCACAGTCCATGACATAAAGTGGAGATGTGAAGAGGTCATCAGAATGTGTTCAGGAGAATAAGGGACACCTGAGTAGAGAACTATAGGAAATCAAAGAAACCAGCCACCATTTGGCTAGAGTCAGGAAAAGCATCTGAGGAGGATGTTTGAGCTGGGCCTTAACACACAAGTGGGAGTCTCCTAGGTTTTTGAGGGGAGTGGAGCTGGTGATCAAAGGGCATTATTATTAGGAAACAGTATGCATAAGGTAGAAAGGCAAGAAAAGGGCTGGCAGATGCATAGGTATAGGGTGGAGACTAGAGGCCTAGAAATGGCTGACTTTTTAACAGTCCAGTCCCTGTACTGTTGGGAGACAACGGAGTGTCTCAGGTGTGCCAAGCTCTCTCTCCTGCCCCTCCTGCCCTTCTCTCTCTGAATGATGGCTCTCCTTCCTGCCTCTGCTGGCATTGTTTCCTCTTGGGGCAGTGGGAACAGAGCCCAGGGGTCAGGCAGGGACACCGTCTCCACTAAGCAAAGAAACACAGTCAAAACAAAGCTGAGCTTGGTGCTTCTGGGTGGTTTGGTTTTGTTTTGCTTTTCAAAGCCATGGCTGATAAACTGTAAGGATGGCTCCTCCATAGTCTGAGCTTTGAGAAAATAT